CTAAGTTTCAAGAGAATGAGACGAATGGACAGTTTTAAGAGTAAGATAATTGTAGGATTTATTTATTATAATATTATTACTATATATAATAAAGGTCACCGGTATGGTCTCTAGATGGAATAGCTGATAAAAAGTGCACTTTTCACAATTCAAGCAATAAAAACGAAATGCTGAATGCGATAGTTATAAATAATCACCAAAATGGTAGGATGTTTATGCAAAGGAAATATAATTCGTCAGAAATTAGGTTAAAATAAATAATCCTTTTTTTGAAACTTAGGTATAAAATTTTTTTTGTTAGTATGGTTTTCTATTTCCCGTTTTCATCTACATTCTTGCGCTATATAACAAACATTTTAGGATAGATGAAATAAAGACGTTACGAAAAACATCTGGAAAATACTGCTGGACTGAACGAGGGTTCTGGTAAAATTCAATGAAAGATCTAATAAAGATATTCTATAGAAATGTTTTTTCAACTCTGTAGCCTACCACACTTCGAGACCCCTATTATTTATAACATATCTCGTCCTTATTCTTTGGACCACAAACTTATCTTTCTAAATACTCTCGTCTAAATAAAGATCTGAACAACGAAAAATCTAAAAAATGCATTGAATCGTATCGCTCTCTCAGCTTATCAAACTGTGTACACTACGAGTCTTAGATTTCAGCTCCGTGGTAAGCTCCACCGATTCACGCTGGGCGTTCAGCCTGTTACAAATGTTTTTATTTTATTGAAAAATTACTATAAGTTTCTTAAATACGCAAATATCATAATTTATAATATAATTTTCATATATGCATGGGTCAGTACATCACTTTGGATATTTTTCATATAAAAATCAAATTTAATAGACATATTTTATCTTTAGGTATCAAATATATTTTATAAAGAAGCAAAATATAAAAATGTGACAGTAATTTACTTGTTTTTGAATGGAATTTGTCAGCAGCTCCTCATTTATTTCTCTAATTCTTTTTCTCTGATCTATCTGGTAATCCTTTTTTTTTTTTAATATTTCAGACAATACAATTATTATATATTCTATGTACTTCATAATTATTTATTATAATATTTGCGAAATAAAGAATTTAATACTAATTTTTCAATAAAATAGAAACATTTTTAAATAGAAAAGATATGGCACGTTGTAAAAAAAAACTATAGGCATGAATATTATAGCATCGATAATAAAGATAATAAATGTAGATCGAATTTCAACAGACCTTCCCTGTTTTTTATAATTCTTTTCTCATGATAAGGAACCGACCTTGGGGTGTAGGTAGCTGACAAAAACTAATATTTTCAAAATTGTATCTATCAAGATGGAATGCTGAATGCGATAGCCATAGATAGAAATAAAAATTCTAGAATATTTATCGACAGAAGGATACGTCGTCCTTTAACCGAAGTAAATATAATATATTTTTTTTTTGAACTTAGGTAGATGAATTTTTTCTTTCACACTTTCAATTTAAGATATCTTTATCATGGGTTAGCATACACAAGTATTTCTTTTTTTGTTGCAACTAATACCTGAAGATGCTGTAAAAGAAGGGAACAATTCTGGTCGTATTTTTTTCGTTTCATCCGGTTTTTAATTACAACGATTTTAATATCTATTTATCATTTCCGCTGTTTTATTTTATAATATTAAACATTTTTTATAAAAAATTTATTTTCTATAATTTTTTGCTATATTGGTAAAATAAGTTATATTATTGTATTTTTATTGGAAATATAAAGTAAACAAGGTTTATTTGTTTTTGTCACGTGTCTAGTTTCTTCTATTTAAAAACTTTCTTATTTTATTGGAAAATTAATATAAATTTCCTAAATACGCAAACATTATAATTAAAAAACATGTCTTTTGATATTTATAAGAAAAGTATTCTACAATATTGGTTAATTTTTTTTTCTCTGATTTATCTGATAATCATTTCATTTTTTTGTAAAATATTGCAGACAATACAATTATTATATTCTATATATTTCATAATTGTTAATTATAATATTTGCGAAATAAATAAATAGTTTAATAATATTAATTTTTCAATAAAATAGAAACATTTTTAAATAGTCATACCACGCACCTTCTTTCTTTATTTCGACCGTCGATTCGTTTGGACCTTATACTTTTGTCGCATACCTATGTGCTTATCTCTGTTTATTCCTTCTACCCTTCTATCGCTCCTACCTACAAACATTTCGAGTATCGAAAGAATACGTGTCCACGCTTTATAGTATGCAATCGCACACAAACACACACATATACAACCAGAAGCGATAACTACGAAGCATAGCATAAAGAGGAGACCGAGAATAGGAAAAACTGTATAGCTATATTCCGTCTCATTCTCTCGCAGGCTAAATCCTATATGTTTGTCTCTTTATCTCTCATTATTTAGTATAGCAGCCGTTTCATAGCTTCGTTACATAGCTTCGTTAAATAGTTTCGTTACATAGCTTCGTTACATAGCTTCGTTACATAGCTCCGTTTCCGTTTATTTACTTTTCAGATCACTCCCATTCTAAAGAAGTTTTCACTTCAAAAATAAAAAAAAAGTAAATCGGATTAAACTCGATCCAGCGATTATGACAACTGTAGTTTACATAAGATTGAAAGAAATAGTATATAGGAATGCTAATTAATCTTTAACCCTAATTTTCTCGAAAACGGCTGTATCTAGGAAGCTAATTAATACATGTACACCGTATGTACGGTCTGTAACCCTAACAAACATATATAAATATATTTATAAAGTTTTATAAACGTCTTAAAAACACAAACTATTGGTTCTCAATCCATTGGTTCTCATCCTGTTGTCATTGAGACGTCTTTTTGATACGTTTGCGCAACGTCATTGATACGCAGTGGAGGCGCTATTGATACGCTAGTGGAGAGCCAATGATACGCTTAATGGGCGTAATTGACACACTATTGGCGCATCATTGTTGGACTTCATTTAAGGTTTTCATATGGCTTATAAAAAGGAAAAAGAAAAAAAACGCAAGACTGTATGCGTAATTGAAGTGTCCTAATATGTACTATATTGTGTTAGCCATAATGAAACTATTAATATTATTATTATTATTATTATTATTATTATTATTATTATTATTATTATTATTAAATGGCATTAGGAACTCGAAAGTTTTTCAATATATTACCAACATCGAAAGGGTCAATTTTAGAGCTCATGTTAATTGAACATTTTATATTAATCTCTTGAAATATCGCTCTCTTTTTTTATATTTAATCCTATCATTTATTATTATATTTCTGAATTCTACAGAATACAGGTATCCCTCCAACACCACGGTTTCTCCTAACACGATTTCGCTATAACACGATTCACAAATTGCGGCAAATCCTCCAACAACACGGTATCTCATAACACGTTTCGCTATAACACGATTCATAATTGCGAGAACCCTCTTACAACACGGTATCCTATAAAATAGTTTTCTTTCAAAAAACCTTTTTACAACACTGTACTTCTACAGCCGCGGCGAGGCTTACCGTCTTAAAGATACAGTATTACGAAAAGTATTTCTTTTCATCTCCATGGCCTGAAAACAAAAGTGTCTCACGCTGTTGTGAACTAAAAACATCAACGTTAAATGCGTGTTGGAAAAAGATATGGCTCTCTTCAGTTAAAATAGAAAACATGCGTGAATCATCACAAAATGAAATTGGTTGCATATCAGAACTTGCTAAATCAATCGGAGGCGAAAGTTTTGTTGAAATGGTTATTGTGGACGTTCAAGGTTTATTAGTGGAAGAAGAAGTGATGATTCGGATGAATGATATCCGAAACTGTAAATCAAATTGATCCTGAGGACACTAGCACTGATGAAGATTGAGCTGTTAATAAGCTAACATTAAAAATATTACAAGAAGGCCTAAGCTTAGCTGAAAATCTCGAGTCATTTTTCTTGAATGCAGATCCTTCCAAAGAAAGAAGCCAAAAATTCAAAAGGAAGCATCAAAACTGTCTAGCTCCATACCAATAAATTTACAATGATCTGGTAATAAACAACAAGCAAAGTAAAATTACAAATTTTTTATAGAGGGAAGAAAATGCAAGAACTTTAAATGAAGTAAAACGTTCTGAAAGTCAAGGCGATATCATTCCACCGAAAAAACATTCTCAGTTGATTAAATTGAGCAGTGACGACGAAGAAATAAATTAAATTAAAGTTGCGTTAAATTAAGATAATATTTTTTGTTTTGTATTGTTCATAAATTTATATTTTTAATAAAAATTAAGTTGTTTATTTAAAAAAAAAAAAATATTTGTTTTTAAAAAGTTTTCGGAACGTAACCCCCCTTTTTGCATTGGCTTTGGGTCTCAAACAACACGGTTTCAAATAACACGGCATTTTCTAGGAACCTATCTACCGTGTTGTTGGAGGGAGACCTGTATTTTTAACTTTTAAATATATATTTTATGTATTATTTTATATATTATTTGCAACACAAGTATCAAGGTTAATTAATTTAAGATTGATTCATTATAATCTTTGACTTTTTGCATTTTCTATATCACATTTTATTTATATAATTTGTAAAACAAATACATATACGTATGTATATAGTAATAGTAATACATAATTTCTATTTAATAGCATTTGAGTATTATACTTATTTAATACAACAGGTATATATGAGTGAAAAGTAGAACACACGTTTGACTTGCCGCACAGAGTATATTTATGCGGATATTCTCTTTCTTATAACTACACACGTTTAAATATATAAAAATTCTGTGCAAGTAAATATTATAAGTAGGTAAATTAAATATAATAGTAAATATAAAGTATCGCGCTTAAACAACGATCGTGATACTTTGTACTCCGTAAAAGGAGACATCTTAACCTTACCTGAAAGATAATTGATAAAAGATGAAGAAGCGTGTTTACTATTATTCCCTCATATATATGTGTATATATCTATACATATATGTTTATGCTTATATACGCACATACACTTATGTATATAAAAAACTGAAATACTACTTTATCATATAAGTTTTATAAACTAAAGCGTGTCCTTAATATCTTTGAAAGCCGATAAATCCTATATATTATATTTGAAAATGAAATCTCGACTTTCTCTAATAATTAATTCCGAGGTTAACTGTATGTATATGTACTGCGTTCATTACGTAAAAGGTTGCCTTTTTAATCTAGAACATACGAATCGATACGACATCAATAAAGAGCCTGCAGATTATCTGCTCTGATAAATGAAAGAAGATTCCTTTCCATTAGATTACATAATGGCAGCTCATTACTCAATGCCGCGTACGTTCGATTATCTCTTATTGTTCGAATTTAGATCACGCGTGGGCAAAATGTACTCATCTTTCCGATACGCTATTCCATTCACTTCCTCTTTCCTTTCTCTTATTCGTCTTAGAGTACGTCATTTCATACGTTATTGGTCCTACTTATAACGTATCAAATTTAAACAAACTTTACGTACTAAACGCGCGTTTTACTTAAAACTTGTATTATTTTCCCTATAAGTGTAATACGAGATTATTTAACTATTCGTTTAATATTGATATCCACCATTAGCAGCAGCATCACCACCGCTGCCAGAAGGATATCCACCATTACCACCGCCGCCAGAAGGATATCCACCATTACCACCGCCGCCTGAAGGATATCCACCATTACCATTACCACCACCAAATCCATTTGAGTAACCACCGTTACCGCCGTTTCCACCGCCGTTTCCACCGCCATTTCCATTGCCATTTCCACCACCATTGAATCGTCCAAAGCCTCCTATATAATAATAAATAAAAAGTCGTCAATTATAATCGAACAACAATTGTGATTTGAAAAAGATAAACTATAATTAAGTAACTTTCAAACGAATATATAGAAAATGTTACCATTTCCACCTATTCCTCCATTATCTCCAGGTCCGCCGGAAGAATAACCGCCGTTACCACCATTACCACCAGGTCCACCAGAAGGATATCCATCGTTGCCGCCAGGACCACCGCTTGAATATCCTCCAGCGTTTGCTTCTCCTTCGTACCTAATTTGCGGCTTAAAGCCTTCTTGATCCGCTTCGTATTCAACTATTTGCTTTCTACCATCAGGAAGCAAAACGTTGAATTCGCCTTGGGCACGATCGCCATCTCTGCTTTCCTTATGACCAAAATCAGCTCCAGATTGATCGTCTTTTACTTCATAAGAGAACTCGTACTTGGCGGGTTCCTAAAGGAAAAGTATATATCAATATATTGGCTTACTTATGCTTCAAGGTAAATCAATGATTGTACATTCGATTATTCTCCTTCTCTTAAAACTCCAAGCTTACATTATTTTCATCCTGTGCTCCATTTCCATAACCTCCAGGTGAACCATAGGAAGAACTTGGCTGTCCTCCACCGAATCCGTTCCCACCTGCGGGAGCTCCGTAACTGTTAGAAGGACTTCCGTTTCCAAATCCTCCGCCGTTTCCACCCCCAGGTGCTCCATAGCTACTCGATGGCCTTCCATTGCCATTGCCTCCACCAGGTGTTCCGTAACTGTTTGATGGTCTTCCGTTACCGTTACCTCCACCGAATCCGTTTCCGTTAGATCCTGGAGCTCCATAATTACTAGAAGGCTTTCCATTTCCACCATTTCCACCATTTCCAGGTGCTCCATAGCTACTCGATGGCCTTCCATTACCGTTGCCTCCACCAGGTGCTCCGTAACTATTCGATGGCCTTCCATTGCCATTGCCTCCACCGAATCCGTTTCCGTTAGATCCTGGAGCCCCATAACCGTTGGAAGGTCTTCCGTGTCCTGAACCTCCGCCGCCAAATCCATTTCCACTAGTTCCAGGTGCTCCATAACTGCTCGATGGCCTTCCATTGCCGTTGCCTCCGCCAAATCCATTTCCACCTCCCGAACCTCCCCCAAACCCGTTGTCAGAAGCTCCACCAGCGCCGCCATTTCCACCTCCTGAACCAAATCCTGGTGCACCGTAGCTATTACTCGGTGCTCTTCCGTTTCCCCTTCCGTTCCCTCCACTAAATCCTGGTGGACCGTATTCGCTGGAAGGCCCACCAAAACTACCTCCTTGACCACCGTTTGCACCGGGAGGTAAATATGAATTTACCGGAGGTTCTGGCCGTGCTAAAGCCAGACCTATGATGATGGTAGCTACTGCAAACTAGAAAATATAATGGCATACTTAATTAATTACTTATTTGTAATAATATAATTAAAGAAAATACAAGAAACAAGAGTGTGACTATAAGAATGATTCTAATAATATATATATATATAACATAAACGTCATTTTGAAAAATCTTACAAAATTGACAGAACGATGTAAACAGCTGTAATTATCTTGACGGTAATTTCAATTTGCATTAATTGTAAAAATATTATACGTTGCAGACAATCGCTTACCTTGAACATCCTGACGTTAATGTACGAATCTTACTTGAGCTGGAAAACGAATTTTAATGGAATTTCTTTCGTTTTCCCCTTTTTTGAGGAAAACGATTTAAGTCTTTTTATTAGTTTTAACTTTTCCAAGAATGTTTTAGCACGCCAATAACTCTTAAGGCTCTCCTTGAGAGCCTCTATCAAGATGGGATAACGATGAGTGAATGACAAACTTTGGTCTCTAATCCGGTTTATATATACCGAGACCCATCCGCATTTGTGGATCATGGTTTGGTGCAAGCGGCAAGATTTACAAGGAGAATCGGTATAACTATGTCACGGTGGTGTATCGGTGTTCGGTGACGGTAAAGAGGAGTGGGACTGAAGATGCGAACTAGGCAAGCAGCCTATGTCCTATATCTTATGGATTACGAATCCCGTATCGTATCGTTACCAATCGATCTTACATATTACGTCTACACCAAGATCGCTTCGTTTTATTCGGATAATCGAGCATTCTAATGCATCGAACGTTTCAAATAAAACCATCCATCTTCAAATTTCAACTCGTCTTCGGATGATTACAAAAAATAAACAAATAAATAAAGACAAATATTTACTTATATATATATGTCTTTTTCTAACGTAAGATCTTTGAAAAAAAAGTTATTGTAGTTAACTTTAATGGATTATTATCTCATTAAATGGATACTAAGTTATGGAATATCTCTTGTGCAGAAAAAAAAACGCTAAATTTGTAATTATATGAAGTCGTGAAACTTTTTGAAAAGAAGAAATATGTATGTAATTTACGCTATGACAAACTCACGCGAGAGGAATCATAAAAGAAATTGAGGAGAGAAAGCGCGACAGCATGTTTATGTACTCCGAAATATTGCACCACCTTTAAATATCCCGATTACGGAAGTAATTATTAATACATCGATCGTGTATTCTTATTTTACTTGGTACAATCCTGTTAAGTTATTCTTCAGTCCTTTGCACAAGCGTTCTTATTCATTTTTTTTGTATAATTTATAAAAGAATATTACAATACATTGTAAGCGTGATATTTCATAATAACGTCCATTTAAAAACGCACATACATATATACACACACATACTTATATATATATTATATATATAAACGTTTCTTTTATAATGTGTTGGTATAAATATAAGACAAAGATTTATTTGAAAGAAGTTTCATTAAATTCAAAATCCGGAATGATAATCTGCTAAGGTTATCGTACGCTTACGCAAAAATTCGTTGAAGGGCTAAATCATTTTTAACCAGCGAAGATCTTCATTGTGTCATAAAAGAATATTTCGAAAAAAAAATGATGGTCTTTAACTCTATGATCCCCATACGTAAAGATTCACTTTCATAAAATAGATGTACGCCCAATTGAAATGGTTCGAATGTTAACTTTAAGATCCAAGTCACCTACTTTCGTTTTAAGAGATCATTAAAGAAGAAGAGGACGAGCTTGATGCGTGTCGAATGCGGGAACAGAAGCGAAACATCTATGCCCGCGATGTGCTAACAAGCAAGATTTCTTCTTCTATTTTTTATTTTTCTTCCGTTTTCTTCGATTATTATAAATCAGATCAATTCGAGTGTTATCGTTGTCGAGACGTCGTTTTCAAACTTGTATCTATGTCCGTCCTATCTTTATGTGCAATGTTTTTGTGCAATCAACTCTCATGGTTGGTGGCAACGTAGAGGATGCTGCACGAGATAGGGATACATTATGCAAACTTGCGTCATAGATTTATTGTAACAGTACTTTCATCGATTCTAGAAGCGTAGAATAGTAGGATTCATTGGTTTTTGTATAATCGGTTTAAATTAATACCTTCTTATCTACAATATATCATTATTTTTATCTATAGAAATAATTTTTTACATTAACGTTTCATTTCATCATCCTATATATACATACGTATTTTGACTCTAATTACAATAATACTAAATTAGAAAAAATTCAATCGAAAAATTCTGTTTTAGAATAAATACTGTATCTTTCCAGAATATATTGATAAATTATTTCCTTGTAATAATTATGTGTAAGAGTTATACTCAAGAACCGCGCTAATCGTTATTCAAAGATCCGTTTTCTACCAGTCAAAATACGGAATTCATTGGTTAAATTTACCCGCATGTCCAAAGCCGTTTCACCACTTCTACTTGATGTGTGAAAGTGTTGCAGGACTTACGTCGAAAGATGTGCACTCATACTATACAGTTAGGCAATACTCTCTTCACCTGATCCAATTTACTGCCCCTACATCGATCTACAGCTGCCTCGAAGAATTGCAACATCTCGTGACGCTGACGATGCAATGCGCTTATACGATGTATATCTGTATTATGAGATGACGTATTGTTTGTTGGAATAATTTTTTAATATATATGAGTTACACATCATTTAAACTATGACCGACCAGATTGTGTAAATACGAATTTATTTACAATAGAATTTATAAAAATTATTATAATAATTCACTCAAGTGTACACTATTATAATTACATTTATAATTATTAAAGAGCACCATTATTGTGACCGTTTGAAAAAAAGGTGATTTTTCAGAATTTTTTTTTAAGAAAACTACTCCATAAAACAAAAAATTGAAAATTAAGCGAGTTATTCGCAATCTCCTAAGGCCTAAAAAAAAGTCCCCACACTGCTGCAGTTATAGCGACCTTCACAGGGCATGAAATAAAAAAAAACTAGAAAGTTTATTAAAGTAGAAGGAATTTCCCGTACCATGAACCTCGGTCGAAACGAAAAATTGAAATTTAACAAAAATGGCGAAGTTTTAAAAAAAAAAATTTTATGAAAATTTAATGATTTTTGGCTCGCAAAAATTACATTTTTTATTCGATCGAAAAACTAGAGGTTCAGAAAAACGCGTTTTAAGTTTAAGTTACTGATTTGATCGTTATAAATAAAGGTGGCTATAACTCAAAAACTATTTAAGATATGCATTTGGAATTTTAGTATGTTACATTTGTAAAGGAATAGACTATTGAATTCGAGTTTTTCAAAATTTCACACTAATGGTGTCCCTTAACGTAAAAAACATTTATTAAATTATGATCACAGATATTTGTATAAAAAATAACTAAAATAAGATTCATTAATGAAACTTTGATTAACGTAGTTTTTTTTTCTATCAATATACGAAGATACCTATACAATACCTGAGTGCGTAGCGATATTAGATTATTGGTACATTTAATTATCGATATTAATAGTATGAAAATATAATATATAAATATGACAAAAAGAGAGAGAGAGAGAGACAGAGAGAGATATTTGAAATATTTTGATGAATGAATAATTATTATCAGGCACACTAGCACTTGCTTCCTCGTCTGTTGACTAGTAAGGCTGTTTCCTATATAAATCGAAACGTGACATCGAAATAACTCGTTTAACTCGCAATAACATACTTATTATCTTGATAATATTTATATTATCATTATGGAATATAATCCGAGTTGTACATCTTCGTACTTAAAAATATACCAAATTTTATGATCGCTCCCATTAAAGGCTCTATAAATATTTCTTCTTCACTCACCCACTCCTCGTCCGTTTCTAATTATAAAAAAAATATATAGTTAATATAACCACAAAGAGAAGATTATTATTGCATATATACAATGATCAATTTTAACACGTTCCGTGCCAAGCTCTTTTTACCTGACTTGTCATTCAGGTCATTTAATTTTACTTTAACAAAATCAATCATTACATGTAATTAATAATTATTGTAAATATAACTTATGTGCTGTGTTCTGTACCGCATTTTGTATAATGCATCAATATTTTAATAGAAATATTCTGTTACAGAATTAAATTTGTTATAAACATATATTTTTCAGCGCATTAAATAAATATATCTAATGGTAAGTGTACCATCGGTGGTACACGTGGCCTGAAGAACAAGTTTAACGTGTACCACCGGTGGTACACGTGACACGGAACGTGTTAATGGATAATACTTACTTGGTTTAACAGGTGCAGGTTTTGAAAACAAAGTTACATGTTGTTTAATCAATATCTTCTTCTCTAAACAGCCTAATTTAATCAATATCTATAAAAAAAGTAAAGTAATCATTTAATATGTTATGATATTAATATAAATGAATTTACTAAATGAAAATTACTTGAATCACTTATTTTAAAAATTATATAATTATATATTATTATAAATATTCAAACCTCAATCAGTTCACGAGTGTGGAACGGTTGTAAGGCTGGACTAAATCTATTTTGTACTTTGACTAATGTAACACCAGGATGTGTTAAACAATATGTTAAAACAGCTCCCAACATACGATCTAATACTCTACGATTCAAAACACCATCTACGCGAATCCATGGTTTCATGACTACCTTTATTTCCTCAGCATTACTGAAATCATGAACGCGTTTAATATCCAAATGAATATATTACATTTTATAGAATGTGCAATTAAATGTGCAAATAATTCATAATATCTTATTATACTTTCTTACGTTAAATCTAATTTTTTGGCAGATGTAAATATATCCTTTTGTGGAAGCAAAGATATTCTCTTTCTTTGTAATCTTTTTGTAGCGCATACATTTGGTTCCTTTTCAGTTTCACCAGAGTTACTTATAATTGTAGCATTTTCTTGTTCTTCGGTACCATTACCAATTGAAGGCATCGTATCTTTTTTTCTTATCTTTTCTTCGTTATCAATCATTGTTATGTCTTCGCATATTGATGATTCCAATGAATCTTTATTATGACCAATATCATTATCTTTTTTAATATCATCAATATTAGTATCGGTAACAGTTTGATTTTCTGTTAAGTATATGCTATCTTTAGGTATTGGTAAAAGTGACTCTCTATCTGAACGAAAGATCTTATAAGAATGTACCAACCAAGGATTTACATGACCGTAATGTATATATCGGGGTGTAGTTACACCAGAACGTAAAAACAAATAATTATCAATTAAAAGAGAAACTATATCATATAACTCTCTCCCAAAGTCTTTTCGAAATTTTTGCTGAAATTATTAGAAACAATGAATTATCAAATTATCATATGTGATTATTATACCCCATAATGTTATATTAATAAATATTTTTACCATAAGTTCCTCCGAGCTAGCTCCTATTTCTTTCTTTTCTTTTACAAATCTGTATATAGCATCAATTTTCATCCAGTTATATAATACTTTTCCATTCATAGTTTTCTTAAAATTCGCATATGAGGTATTATTTTTTGGAAAAGTTGCAAATTTATTTAATTCGTTTATAATTTCGGAAACAGTCTTTAATTTCAAAGGTAACATTCCAGATGGTAGCGCATAACTTTTAAACATTTCATAATCCTCATCACAATGTTGTGATGAGGATGATTCTAAGTAATAAAAAATTTTAAATATATTAACCACGAAATATTCGTGAGCATGATGACTATCAGATACGGAAAATTCATTTAGCTCCTCCCTTATTTTCAATAGGGCTAATCTTGTAAATTGTTTTTGACCGTCATTCGTGTCATCGAGTTTGGTGTATGAATTTGCATAAGTTATATCTTTAGATTTACTACATATTATACTACTTATACGAGTAAATGCATTATCATTTGTCTTTTTATTATATTCTTCATTACTTTGACTTTCGCTTTTTTGTTTTATATCTTCATCTTCTGCAGATTTCGAACATCCAACTGAATTTTCATCCAAAAGCCTTGATTTTAATGAAATTTCAGCATTATCCATTTTTTCATCAAAATCATTTAGGCACTTATTTAAATGTGTTTCCATATTACTTCGTGAAGTATCATTACATGAATTTAATTTGCTACATTCACTATCATCATCCATTTTAGCTTTCTTCGAGGTTGATTCCGTAGAATCTATTTCACAATTATCAATGTATTTTCTTTTTAAATGATTCCCTTTTAATTGTTCTTTATCCGTTTTGTTTAACATGGTTTTAGTTTCATCATGAGAATTAATTGAATTACTTTCTTCAATAAGTTGTAATCCAAAGTTGTAATCAGGATTATCAACTTTTCTTGCCTTTTTAGATCTAAACTCATCGTCAACGTCTTCTTCAAAAATAGATGACCCATTACCAGTGCGATGATCAACAATTGTCTCCTTTTTAAATATTGAGGTTTTATCGTTTTCTATAGAATTCGTCTTCTTATTCGAATTGTCTTTAAAATAATCTAAACCATCTAAACCATCTAAACCATCTAAAATATCTTTATATCTTTGTGCAATTCTAAAGTAAGTTTCATTTTTTTCTTTTAAACTCTGATCTAGTGTAATTACTTGATCAGGTATGGCAACATCAAAATCTAGCTTATCCATTGGCATAAAATCATGTATCATGGCAACTATCCCACCAGTAGCTGGAATAATTTCAATACCACCGGAAGAAACATTATCTGTCAATGGATTACTTATTTTTGTTGTAGAATACCATTGAATAAGTTTAAAAAAAGCATTGTATGATTCCATATATAAATCATATGGCCATCTATCTTGAAATTTGTAAATGTAACTGGTACTAAACTGATACTGTGCACTACTCATTGGCATATAATTGACATACTTCTTTGTTAAATGCATATCATTTTTCTTGATTGTTACCAATTGATCAGCCCTAATTTTGGCCATAGCGCTTTTCAAAAGACCCTCAGGATACTGTTGATATATTTTAAATAATTGATATGCCCAAGATTTTTTATCTTTTCCAGAACACATTGAACTATGAATAACAGAATTAATAGTAGCAGAACGTATATCGTAAATACAACGAATATCGTTGAAATAGCCTAGATTAAATGACTTAGTAGGATATATTATTTTATAAAAGATATTGAACTCTTGTACTGTTTTTGGTACAACGATAGGTTCACTTGATCCCATTTCTGAAATATTGTAATACTTTTTAGCAACGTAATTAACAAGATCTTTAAATACTTCAGCTATGCGTTTTTCAAATGTGCCTTGATTCGGAGATTCTTGTTTAATCTTTTCCGTTATACCACTAAACCGTTTATTAAGAAAGAAATTTTGCTTTATTTCTTCTACTCCTAAAGCTACGCTTTTAACTGTTTGTGGTTGTCTAAGCATATATAAAAGTCTTCTTTGACAAGCCCGAGATGTTTTATTGTTCGAACTAAGAGAATAAGAGCGTAAAACATCTCTGACCATATTAAATGATACCACTTGTTTGCGATGATTTGGACACAAATACATCATGGCAACTTTACATATAAGTAATATATTATCTTCGTGTGGTTTCCAGTCGACGCGCAATTTATGCATTAGTTGAAGCGCACGATAATCAATTTCATCATATTTTACACGTGATTTTCTTCCCTTTTTAGGTAAAACTCGTCTAATAAATGATTTCTGTTTAGACCGATGAGATATTGTATATGTTTCGGGTTTAATAGACTTATTATTAACTTCATTAACTTTGTTCGATTGCGATTTTGTTTTCATACTTGTAGAATTTACAGTAGTAGGTCCTGATACTTTTTTTAATCCAGAAAATTCAGTAAATTTGATAGGTGCTGCTTTTATTGTTGATAAATAAGCATCTCTCTTACATGTAGTTTTATTTCCTGGATCTTTTTTTAGTTGATTACGCGTCGTAATATTATTATTCCAATTCCAATTACGTTTCAAGTGTGCAAAAAATGCGGAATCGATACCAGCTGCACCTTTACGATCTCCAGGTACTTTGCCGGTATCTAATTTTATAGCTTCCTCTGCAGTACGAGCTTTTATTGTTTCTATCATGTCACTTTTTTTAGATAAATCTTCTAATAATATATCTTTACCCTGAACTGCAAGCCTACCCCCTAAAGGAGTATTAACACATATATTCCACATGTCGTACCAATATTTTTCAACGATATACATCTCATTAAAATTATACTTCGTTATGGGGTATGTTTTTTCTTCAACTTTGTGATATCCAGGTGCAGATGAAGTTGTATCCATTAATTCACTATGACGATTTACGTAAAGAAATACTTGATCTTTTTCTTTTAATTTCTGTGGTCCAAATTGAACCAGACCGAGATAACATAATCTAGTAACGGTTTCATGAACATCAAATATATACTTTCTTCCATGTAGTAAAGTACTCTGAATATTCATTGGAAGATCTTTTACTAAATAATGCTTTCTAATAGGATGATTTGTATAATATTCCAAGCCTGATATAATAAATGGGACACTATGGATTTTTAAAAATATTGATAGCGGAATGCGCAACAGAATGTCACACATTAAAGTCCAACCTTTTGGCCAACCTAATACATAAAGAAAGAAAAAAATAACAATAATAGTATATGCATATATCATGCTTAAGATTTTAAAGAAACATGTATGTGTGTGTGTGTGTATAAATACAGTTACAATTTTCTTACCATTATGTTGAGGTAAGGATGGCAAAAACATCTTCCATCCTACTTCCGTGGTATAAATTTTACTCATTTCTTGAGCCAAACTATCGGTGATGCTAAAATCATTGGCACGTAACAATTTTATTTGTTCATTCTTGGAAAGCGTGTCTTCTCCGGGATGTTCATAAACTAAATAATATATAAGAAAATGAAGTTCTTGCATACGAACAAATTTGGGACTATATCCAAGTTTTCTAGCTGCTTTCTAAATGTACAAAATGAAACATAAGTTATATATTTTATTATTACATATATAATTGGTTCACTTTATCAAACTGTGTATACATACTGGATCATATTTGGAAGTATTTGGTATTGCTGATAGTATTTTAGGCCTTTTCTTTGTGTTTTCCGTATTATTACGAGGAGTCTTATCTACATTATTTTTCGGATTCGTTTTAGATTTTGATGATCCCAATAAACAAAATTTAACTTTTGCTTGTTCTATAGCTGATTTTATTACCGTGTGATCTGTATCAATATTGGGATCACATACGAAAGTCAAATGTTTTTCTTTGCCATTAGCGCTAAGAGTTAACTTGATATTTTTTACCAAATTATCTTTAGCTAATTTATCTAATAATCTGATCAAAGATTTTTTATCTATCTTTACATCATAGCCTTCCTTATCTTCTTCGTCATTTATCATCTGAAATGAAAATGAATTAGATTTAACTTTTGATCTCATAATGCCATATTGATATGAAATTACTCTAATTTAACCCTTTCGCTACTACGGGCCATTATAGGGGTCCTCCATAAGATGCCACTGAGGTACTACGGGCCACTATGGTGACCCTCCATAAAATGCCGTGTATTTTACATATGACGAACATATGCGGTTATAGCACATCAAATATCCTATTATGGACGTATAGTTTTAGTGTTTTGTTTCTTTCAATTAAAAACCATTAATATCAGCAACAAAATTACTCAAAAATAAAGTTTCGATGCTGCACTTATTAGCAGCCCGTAAAGTAGAAGTAGCGCTGCGGAAAATATGCCCGTAGCGAAAGGGTTCAATGTTCTTTGATATTAGTTTAACAATAAAATGATACACTGTTGCAATTTACCTTCATTAACTTAGTCATATCATCGATAACTTGATGCTCTTTAACAGACTCGATGATCATATTTGCTCGCTTTAATAATCTATAAGTAATATTAGATACCCCTTTTTTCTCTCTATTTTCAACATCCTCCATGAAACCAAATGTTTCATTAATTGGTTTTCCACGGCGCATCGGATTTTGGGTAACCAAATTTGTTTTTATACTTTTATACATTGATAAATCTTTAATATTATCTGTAATTGTAGATTTAACTGTGGAAATCTCGATACTATTATCACTAGTCTTTCCTATGTTCTCTTCATTTTGTGTTGATTTTTTGTTTATTATTTCGTCAGTTAATAATTTTATTTTCGCTGTTGTTCTCGACACGTTCAGGAAGGTACACTTGTATCTAGTTCGTGACTTTGTTATACGATATTTCCAAAATATTTTATTGACAATGCGAAATACCGAATTTAATTTGCTGGTATTAATAAATGATTCTTGCAATCCAAAATGAGAATATTTCGTTGTATTATTATCAATAGTTGCTTGATAATCTAATTTCTCTATAGTTTTAATTAAATGCGTATAAAAATCGCTAATTTCCCTAATTTCTTTTTTCTGTAAATCATTTTCTTTTGGTATAACTTCATTTTCTTTTGGTATGACTTCATTTTCTTTTGGTATGACTTCATTTTCTTTTGGTATAACTTCATTTCTCTTATTTGACATCTGCTTGGTAAGCTCTTTAATTCTACGTACTTCTTTTTGAAATTGTTTACTCATCGTACTTTTTTCCTCAAACTTTTTACATACATATTTTGTTACTCTTTGCCTACCTGCATCATTCATGTATATCGCTACGATATTCATTTTAACTAGATTACGTAATATAGTTCTACTTTGTAATTTCGTTAAACCCATATCTTTAGATAAGCTTCCTTGAGTGACACCATTAATACTGCTTCCTTCGTTCATAATATTAGCTTCTTTGAGAAAAGAAGAAAAAACTTGGTGTTTCTGAATATCTACATCTATTTGCTCTTCATCCTCGTGTATTTCATCTTTGTTCAATAATTCAGCAACATCAACGTCGGGATTTATCAGCTGAACTACCCTTATTATTTTTTCCTTCGATGGATCACTCTTCCGTTGCCACTCTTTAGGTTCTGCATTTGGATATAAAGTTCTATACGGTACTTTCTATCAATTAACAAGAAAATTTGATTAAACATTTTGATAAACATTTACTTTGTAAGCAATTTATTATATAAAAGTCTACAACTGTGTTGTATATATTAAAGTGAAGGTATCAGTCGTCGATCATGTGCCAGAAATTGACCATTTTTCACTAAAACGTGAAAAATAAGGTTTCTTTAAATATTGGCCTTTGGAAACAAATGCGGTACATGAGCTACGTCATTTGCGATGCTATTATACGTTTGCTTGGATACGATTGTTTCTGAACAACCTACAAACGATTAATATCAGTAACGACAGTCGTATTCCTCCACAATGCAATTTTCGTAACGCTTTCGTTAAGAAGACGTGCGTAGTTGACGATAAGTAATTTCTTTGCTTTTGACTCTTTATGCCTAAAATTTTCACTATTTTAATTGCCATTCAATTTCTTGAAATCCATGGCGGTATTTTTTAATACTCGATAAAGTCGTTTTACGGTGTGGGGTAATCAGACCTACGCCGAACCCCCGAACAGGAGGGTCAATTTCAATCGGTTGTCCGCGACTGCTTATTCAATTTATTCGCAGCTAAACTCCGTCCCTATGCAAGACAAAGAGGCTCATCCTCTATCCGCAATCTGAGGACGCGCTGTGTCGTGGTGACAAGGACCCACCCACCCCGGGAACCACTAAAAAACTAGTTTTCCTTCCCCGAGACTAGCAGTTGTTATGCTAACACAGAAAACGAGAAAAAATGCTCGAAATTCTAATATGACAGGGGATACCAAGAAAATTGATCAACCTGGTTCAACTTTGTTTAAAGGAAACTAGGGGTAAAGTGAGAATAGGTAATCAAATGTCGGAAGCTTTTAGTATTCATAGCGGGTTAAAACAGGGGGACGCATTGTCACCTCTTTTGTTCAATTTAGTACTGGAATTTGCTGTCAAAGAACTGCAGAAAAGTAAAGATAGTTTGCAGTTGAACGGGACAACGCAATTGTTGACATACACGAACGATATTGCTTTGTTAGGGACAATAAGAAGTCATTAATTAATAACGCGAAAATACTAATAGATAATACAAAAGATCTGGGGCTACAAATAAGCGTGGAAAAAACCAAATATATGGTCACCGATAGAGTTCAGAATATGCCTAATACTGAAACTTTGGTCGTCCAGGATAAAACTTTTGAGCGAGTCAGCAACTTTAGATATTTAGGATCGATCATAAACCAGACGAACGAAATTAACGAAGAACTAAAGAAAAGAATCAATCTAGGCCATTC